AGCCATCACCCTGACGTTTGTGCACAAAATAAACGACGGTGGAGGCGTCAGAAACAGGTGGCATATGATTACTGCCACCATTTCGTTGACTTAAAAACGCGAAGGAGATGAGAGCCGACGAGGTCGGAAAAGACCATTTGCTGCCCAACATTTAGGTGCCGTTGATGTCAAAATATAGTGGCTTAACTCTCGATTGTGCTGTAGCCTATCCACCTCCCAAAGCTCCAACCATCTTGACACTCAACCACACCAGCTTATACTTTATGAACCCTTTTAGTTGCGCGGATGAGTTGCTAGCTGCTGCGACCTTGCGAGGCCAGTTTGCCTCATTTTTTACATGATTTACTCGAATTCCAACTTTTGATCGTTGCCAACAACTTTATTTTTCATTGCTGGTATTTTGGAATTGTCCATGATTGTGCTATCAACAGCAGCGCAAATCTGCAACTAGTCAATAGCTTTTTGTAGTGAAGACTTTCAGCATCGGTTAGACTTACTGCATAGTAGCCATGCAATTGGTGTTGTATTGTTCGCTGAACACATCCACGAGGTGTATGGCTGACATTCTGACATGTTTAAATGTTTAGCAAAAGAAATTCGGACAGTGGGCAACTGGACGCATCACCTAGACGAAGTGTTCAAGAAGAATCTTGAGGATGATCCACTTTTAAAGTGGCAGTACTTTTGCAGTTCCACTGGATTCTTCAAGTTCTATCCTGGTAGCTTTTTACTCTTGCCTCATCCTTCACTTCTTTTGCACTCGAGCTGCACTTTTTCCTCGATGCTACCGTAGGTGCAGTGTGGGAGGTTCAGCTTGCTGACTTAAGATTGGACTTCTTCGACTGTCGTTCCACCGCTTGGTGAGGCAACTTGAGATCTTATTAGGCGAAACCGTTGCTACTGTAACTCTTCTTCGAATTAATGACATTTGCTTTCATTGAAAAGGTACGTAGGAGCAGCTTCGTACCCAATAGAAATGATCATCCTCGCGGACAAAAGTGGCAGCATGAAGGGACGTAGAAATACAATTTGTAATGCTACCATCTCTGAGCTGCTGAATACTCTTACCGATGATGACTTCTTCAATGTGATTTATGTAGGTTGATGGGTTCATTGCCTCCTCAAAGGTGCTTTGCATTTTGTGATTATGAATTTGTATATGTGGTAAAGGCTCCATACCTGATGGTCCATTATTTTTTTGCATTAAGAACTGCATCCATCAACGTAACCTCCGATGTGATAGTTGGAGGACATAATTTTATGGTTGATCCATTTCACGGTAATAGTGCAGAATGTAGACTTCAGTCAGGCAAACATAACTGCCAATTGCACGTAATATGCAGTCATGTAAATGAAGAGTGGAACGATCTTCCGCTTGTAATGCTCAAGACAGCAGTGGATTTCATGCCAATGTGATGACTCTCTCGGAGTGTGGTCAACAATCGTCCTCGGTGGTCGGAGAGTAGAAAATTTTATTATCATCTCAAGGCAACAGTAAAGGAGGGCTGTCATCATCACCAGCATTTATTGTTTTCAGTTCTCGGAATCCATAAAGTACGCGGAGGAGTACGTGAAAGATCGTCTCATTCAAGCTACAAGACCGAACAAGGATGTAAGCGATGTATTTGATGCAATCTGCAGTAAAATCAATTTTGCTTAATTCTTACTCAAGCTTTTACCCTGAAAAATGGCTCTCTTCAACGCCTCCCTCACCACTTACAGCCATTTCTAGCGCTCGTTTTCGTATCAGTTGGTGCAGTAATTGCTGGGCGCTATAATTTACGGGTGATGAGGCACGCGTACAAATAAAATCCATGAGATTTTGCGTTTTCCTTTCAGCGTATAGTGCGTGGATTCGGCGACCACATGCCCAACGGGACATCGAACTTCAGGGCCGCTCTGCTGGAGGCCTTTACGCTGCTGAACATCGTAAGCCTGACCCACCTTGTCTCACTGCTTTAGTCCAACAACGGTACTGGAATAAATCGCTGCAACAAAATGATCATCCTCATAACCGACGGTGTGCCCGATGACTTTGATGATTTGTTTGAACAATACAACCCCAAAGTGAGTATCGCCTTTTCCTCTTCATTCCCTCATTTTGTCCCTATTTATTTGGACTTCCAAGTGGTCGTTAAAGGAGCAGTAGGCTGGCACTGCTATAAATTTAAAATCGTTGTGGTAACCATAAAGCAAAGGATGTTTTGTTAGTGGATTCCCCTAATGCTAGTGTGCGACAGCAGCCGACTAGAGCACAGGCGGATAAGGGTGTGGAAGAGGTTGACAGCCACAAAAAACCTGCTAAAAGCCGGAAATGAAGGCAAAGCAATCAGGAGTAGTTATGGCTGGCTTTGATGACCCGTCGGATAGGATGACACTGCATATGAGAGACTGGCGTTTGCCATTCTGTTAAAAATTAAATTTGTCAACGTAGCCCTAGTAACCGAATTGCCACAGAAAGGCAAAACCTCTCCCCAAAGAGTTAACAAGCCCCTTCGACAATGTTCAACCTACTTGGCTTTCATCCTCATTTCCCACTTTATCTACACGACAGAAAAACATCCGTGTTTTCACATTCCTTCTTGGTCAACATTCAGCGGACGAGAGCATTGTCCGGAGAATTGCTTGCAACAATCGCGGTAAGTCCTTTGTCACGGGTCATCTAGTCGTGGGTGCAACTGAAGAAGCACATCCTTGAATACGCAAGCCTAAGTGTTGCTGAAATGAGTGGTGAATATCGAATTCATTAGTAAAATCTATTCGAATGGCTCAAAGCCAGTGGCGAAAACGGTGCTTTGAAGATCTTTCAAACATCTGGGATTGGTTAAAGCTAAAGCGGTTTGCGATGCGTAATTTGACTCACATAATTGTTATGGTGATAATTAGAAAAGAAGCTCGAAGTTGTGAAATGTTTCGAGACATTAGACACTGCTTGCGTTTCTCCAGTCTTCGAAGACGGAAGAGGCTGCAATTTTGCTGGATGGTGGTTGCAGCCGTTAGTTCGACACTGTTGGTTGAGGCAGAAAGATTTAAAAAGTAGTCGAATAAACAACCAAGCCCCAAGTTGAGTGTGTGGAATGTTCCAGAACCTACAGCCTAACATTTCCTATTGTAGGCATGGATGCCAACATAGCAAACCTGGCCGACGTGAAGGAGAATGTGCTGGTAAGAGGACTGACGTTTGCTGAGCTGTGTGTGGATCACCTCAACCGAATGTTCTCCTTTGCAGAAATACATTGACATTGTGGCCAGGTCGAATGCCATCTTGGACGACTCCTTTGTTAGATGGAGCGGAGTCACTAAACTCCAGCTGAATTTAATGGTCAGTTCACCTTCAAAATTCAGTATTACAAATTGCTACTCTCGTGGCAGCTAAATTAAAAAAAATTAGTCTCCTTTCATGTTGTGCTGGGAAACGATGAGATTTGTGCAAAGTAAATTGTCTACATTCCATTTATTTGTAAAATTGGAGGCGAGTAACGCTACTTTCTTACCTCTAAGATTACTTATGTCTCCATTTGTCTACTTCAATCGGTTCCTTTTCAAAGAAACTTGCATTGTTTTGTTTTTATCTTGTAGAAACTCACACCAGAGAATTTCACTTCTCCCACTGAACCAACATTGGTAAGTTTTAAAAATATACAATCGGCACAGTGAAACAACTCCGTTGCCATCGACAAAGCACCTGTGAGAACCTAAAATTCCCTGCAGAATGCAACTGCTGTGGATAACACTACGGTGGTGGAGGAGGTGATGCAAGGAGACGATCCGGGCCCCAACAATGTGCTATTGGTGCGCTGCCATTCAACTTCTCCCTTATCCTCGCAGCGAGCACAATCCGGTCCACCTAACCTGCTTATCTGTTTGTTGTCAATACAAATTTGTGAAATTGCACTAAACTAGGGAGATGTGGCTCGTTTGCCTGAGGTTAATTGGTGACCAGTCATTTCGCCTCAGAAGCGCCTACCGTGGCGGTGAATTGTCCACTTCTTTTTATGTGGCATTTAAACCCGTCTCCAGGCGCTGGCACTCATTAACTCGGCTCACAACATTCACTTTAATAAGATTTAGCACATTTTCATTCATTCGCCTGAAGTGGATGAAATGACCAACTGACAAACCAATTTTTGTTGTGACTACTAGTGGTTGGCGATGTGTTTGATAATTAAAACCAAGAGCAAGTTTTTACCTTATTGAATCACACATTTATTTAAAATATTTGTTAAGCCACCACTGAAACCCTTCAAAGCAGCGGATTCGCAATTCTTCGTCACACTGTCTCGAGCCGCCTACGACAAAACTAATGCCAGCGTAAGTTCAGATTTATTTCCCACCCATCACGGGATAATTAAAACTGTTTTTTGCCCCATTCCAGGTTGAAAACAATCACGGCATTCTTCTCGGAGTCACTGGACTCGACATTCCGATGGATGACATTCAAAATACTCTAAGAAGCTGGAAGGTTGGGTTGATTCTGGCATTACCATCTGGAAGTAATGGGCGGGTTTGCATAACAATGGCAGTGGGGATGGAGGGACCCTAGCTGGGAAGAGAGGAGTTTACGCGTGAACCGCTAAAGCACTTTTAAGCAGCATTTCTCCAGCCTCTTCTCATAACTTTCTTGTTGTGTAATTTTTAGACAGGACCTCTATCATACTTCTTCGGCGTGACGAACAACGGATTTGTATTGTTTCATCCCAACTACCGACCAATGGTAACTTTTTGGGAATCAGGCAATTTTATTGCATTATTTAGCATGGTACACAGTTAAAACGATACTACCGCAATGTGGACATAGATGAGGTTGAGCAACCGCTTGGATTTGCGCTGGATCCAGTGAGTTGTGACTAATTGGGGACATTGCAAATTAAAATGCTCGCATCACCATCCCATGACCTCAATCACCACTGCATCTACTTCAGCATACCGCGCTGCCGATGTACAATTCCATAGTGAGTTGCCTCTGTATTGCAGCTCCACTTGTTGAAGGAAGACGACTTCTAAACTTCTTTTTTACCTGAAGTTGAGAAAATCTCTGATCGATCGACTGTGCACATCCGTTGTTGTGACGACCATGATAACGGCGGAGGACTTTGTAAGTAAATTAATTCCGACATTTATCGAAACAAAAAAAAAAAACAGCCAAACCGACAAGTAAATGGGCACAACAACAGATCAAGCTTTTGACGATGGGAGAGTTACCGCCTATTTCGATACATAGCTCTCGGGTCTACCTATGACGAAGAAGGTCTTCACATCACCTCTTCCGGACACTCCCTTCGCCTTTGGCCTGGCTGTGCGGTGGGTGGCGGAGGCCAACCGTGGATTTCCTATTCCAAAATATGATACTCAAAAATTTTGGCGTCAAGGCATGGTTCGTGGTAGGCAACCCTTCCTTAAACAGTGGAAAATTTGTGGGAAGTATGCATTGCCGACTCCTGCACTTCAATTGCTGTAGTTTAGTTCCACTGAGAAAGGAGTGAGGCTTTGTCATTGCTCGTACCCCTGCGATAGTCCCTTCTGGGTTCCTTAAACCTAGCATTCCGGACGGATAGCAAACTCTTCATGATAGTCAGGACCACCAAACTTAGCCATTTTATGCTTCTAATGCTTTGAGACTGAATCCTGTCAATCATCAGGCCCAGAGTTGTGTCACCTTCATTCTAGCAAAGGGCTCAGTAACTGAGGCTAATGTTTTAACGTGCTTTCAGCCGCAGATACAATAGTACTGGATCCGCGGTTTATGAATCCATCCCAGTCTTGTGAACTCGATGAAACTCGACCTTTTGGAGCAATGCTGGCCCCGCTGTAAGTATGTTAGGGGGTCAAAGGTGTTAGCAGACAAATAAGGATGGTGTTTAAGTCAACAATGTTTCACCAATCATTCAGGAGCTTTTGCAAATTTCGAAGAGAGCCTCTGCGCCTATTCATGGACCATCCTCTCTGCGTCTTGAGAAATGTTGTCCTTGACAACAAACTGAGAAGTGAAAATGAGTGTAAGACTTTGACTTTGCTAAGGAGTGTGCAAAGAGCAAGTTGCTTCTTTTAATAGCTGTGATAATCTATCAAATGTAAAGGTCGTTTACTTGTAAAGGGAGATTTTTACTTTTGATTTCAGGCGATATGGACCACATAGGTAGGATCGTCATGGATGCAAAAGCAACCGCAAGCATTTATGATTACTGGCGAGGAAAAGTTGACAATTCAACCATTCGAAGGTGGGTTGAGCATGAGTCCAAGCCATGCTTTCATCACATTTATTCCAGGTTTGACATACAAAGAGCCTTCAGCGTGCATCATTCGGGCCTCCTGCGTTACTTCAATTTCTCTGAGTCGCCCTACGGGTAAGCCTTTGCCATCAGGAGTCACCAAGCCATCAACAGCAAAGCTTAACTTAATTCTCACGTTAAATTTATAGGGAATTCTTAGAAGAAATTAACAAAGGAACAGAGAGTTCCTTCTACAAATCCACCGTTCTCCTGTCAACCTTTTACGAAAACATGAAAATGATGGTGTTTAGACCACCTCCAAAGCAAGGTGTGTTGTTGATGGTGATCTTCCCACAGTCGAACTTGAGAAGTTGCTTGCATTTGGCTACTTGTAGATGCATTAGTTTTACATTTGACAACGATAACACATCAAACTTTGGTTTGGGTTGCACCATAAATTATCTTCTCATGTTTATTGCACAGTATTCAGGAGTTTTTTGGAGAAGAACACCTCCGTCCCAATGATCATTTCAAGCGTTATCAGTAGTCCAGCCTCCGAGGCCGTTGCTATGGGGATAGCTGGATTGGAATTAAGCTACCGAAAATTTAGTGACATCTTTTTAACACTCGTAAGCAGTTGCGACTCTACCGATTGTCCGAGATGCGACGAGCCGGGTGTACAGTGCTTCCTCACAACCACTGCAGGGCAAATTATCCTTTCTACAGCCGGAGAAAAGGCGGTCAGTTTTAGACTCATCGAAATTTGCACGATATGTTGTGAGCTTAGGCAAATGCATTAGTGGAATGGTGGGTTAAATTTCTTTCAGGTGAGTCGAAACATAAAGGAATTGGATTGCGCTTTGATGGAAGCTCTTGTCGCAGCAAATATTATGACCGAGTATGTGAGTAATTAAGGCCTGTGTGACTGCTGCCTTTGCACATCCTAAATGAAACATTCCTTTAATCCTCTACAAGGCGTGAAGTTTACGACTTTCAGGCCATTTGTATCGAGGTTGTTACACCGGATCTAAACTACGCATCTCGATTGTTCTCCGTAAGTCGAATTGAGCAATGTGTGAAAATAAGTTATGCACTCCAACTTCAAATTTTTTTCTAGAACTACGGTTCAGATGCAGAAGAACTTAGAAATAGGCCCATTTTCTTGATCATATCCCTGATTTTATTCATGTTGATAACTTTTCTTGCTTGAATGAGGCTTGTCGGAGATTTATACAGGTTATAATCTTCAGTAGTTTTGATCGCTTCTCTAACCATCCTCCTTCCTTTCAGCCCATCGCATTTATCCTCAAATGCCTCGGACACGCTCTCAAGAAGCTCTTTGTGTAAGTGCGAAGCAGAGGGCCCAGATGTGCACATCCTTTCCGTTATGCTCCATTTCATACCAAACAATCGCCGAACCACTGGCAATGTGAAATTCAGATAGGCTCTCAACCACCTAGGCAGCACGTCTTTCTGCTCCGAACATTCCAGATGGAGCACTGCTGTGACTGGTGTGGTGAGAATTTGCGGTTGCAGTTACGGAATGATAATCGAAACGTGATCAGCGAAGCCACTTTAAAACCGTATTGAAAATAAAATTACTTCTACCACCATCGCCACACCGCAGCAGATGAACACTTCAACTGGTTCTCACATTCCTATAATGCTAACTTGATGGTGCGATGGGCAATTAAAATACTTGGTTAACATTAAAATTCATGTTTAAAAGCCTATCTCATTGTTTTTCATGGTCAGAATGGTTATGAGCTTGTCACAATTTCATAAACACTTAGAATGGACTTACCCTCTTTTAGGGCTATCGCTAGCTGGTGGCTTATGGGATCGAGGATGGCGGCTCAAGGTTAGTTGCAGCAGACTGAAATATTTCTCGGTAAATTCAAGTACGCCTTCGAACAGAAATCCACTAAACTGAAAACACGTTTCCTTTTGCTAAAGCCAGCGAAATCCCAAAATGGTTGTGGTAGAGCTCAATCGAAATTGAGGTGAACTAAGGCATTTGCCAACAGAATGCAGTCATAACGGTTTCCAAACGGTAAAAGCCGAGCTCTCTGAAGGTTGATTAGATACAGTATATCTTTTTTATGCGATCAAATCACCAGGAGTATGGGACACAATGCCTCCTATTCAAGGCGAGTTTGTTCACATCAGTGATCCCATTTCTCCACCTGATACCTCGCCGTTCAACTTTCGGGATGGTGATGACCACTTCGGCTACTCACAACGCGGCTCTGTCGATTTCTCTCTCCCTGGCCGCACAAACAGCCTCGATGATCCATTCTATCGTGACTACGAGGTGCTGAAGCCCTTCGAGCCTCAACAGACCTCCACACTCACGGAATCTTCTACTGAATCACTTCCAGACATGGAGGTCTCAGTCGCCCCCACCAAAGATGAGACCATTCCAACTTCGGATCTTCCCCTTTTTTACGAGACTGCACATTTTTACGCCCAAAAGAACTACTTCTTTGAAGATCCTGAAGACCCTTGGTTGATGCAACAGCAGGCCTTCTCAGAGTTGAACATGTGCTACGCCAATGAACCCACTCTAACTCCACAGCCCTCATCACCGTCATCTCGCCTTTTCAATGTCTCTGTAAATGAGACATTAGAACTCATTGACCTCACCCAAGCAGTGACTACCAGGGAGCCCTTACACATCTTGTCAGGCAATGTGACTCTGATAAACGAGACGGCGCAAACGAATGACACGAAGACAACGGCAGTCCCTCCACGGAAAGTGAACACAATCCCGGGCACGTTGCTACGATGTGTGCAGCGAATTGTACAAATGCGGTGCCATGCCGCAGTGCACAGCAACAATCAGATCGGACGTCATGCCTGTGAAGTGATGTGCGATGCAGTGCGGCAGCGGATGCCACAGTTGACTGAATTTCTACACGACTGCCGTCAGCCGTTGGATGCGTGCACCCAACGTCACAGCATATTTTACCTTAACAAGGAAGCACATGCTGGAAGGGGGCAGCGGACATCTTATGGCTATGGCGGTGGTGGCAGTGATAGAGGAATTGGTGCACTACCTAAACTTCATTCTGGTATTTACTGCCGGACCTGTGGGAGTATGTGAGTTATAAAGTTTCAAGCATTTGGTTGCATTCCTGACCTATAGCCTCCTTTGCTTGCCACATTCGCTCCTCTCAGATACCAGTTTCAAGTTTACTCAAGCTTCGAGGATCGTGTCCCTGATTTCGCTTTGGATTTGTCGCCAACGTATTCGCTGTTTATTTTATTTGAATTAACAATATGAATTAGTAATTCTTAAAATCACTTAGCCAAAGCATCGTGGTTGTTAGAAAAGTCGAACAGTTAAGTAGATGGTAAAAAGCATAACCTGTTGTAGGATACGATAAGCCCTTAAACTAGTGATTCGCATCGCTAGCTCCACTTCCACTGACGTTCATTTATCGAAGCCACCGCTTTCAAATTGCAATCCAACTCAAATAGTTCAGGACCATGCAACCCATTCCATTGTTGTGTCGGTGCATAAACAAATGAGTTCAAATGGTTTTATTCAAGCAACTGGATCGTGGCCTCTATACCGAACACGAATCTGCTTCTCATAGTGACGGTGAGACCGACGGGAAAGCCATCAACTAATTGCATCTGCGAATGCAAAAGGCGCTACCGTTATGGTGCACAACTGAAAAATATCCTTTTCCGTGGAAAATTTGCAAAATAGTTGGCTCAGCGTAAGAATAATCCCCAAGAATGTCAAATCAACTGTAGTGCATGCATACAAAAATCCTCACAAAAAATGTTAGCTCGTAGAATCACATGAAAACTTAATATTTAGTAGTCGGTGAACAGTTATGTGGAGTCACTTCAAATTTATGTATCGGGTGCTACTAACAGGACTTTAGTAAGCGTCCCACTGGAACGCCTAAGTTAGTACGATTGGGATCCGATTTTTTGTGATCGTACGCATAATTAACTCCCTCAATACGTGACAAATCGGTACCTCGTGCACAAACTTATCGACGGGATCCCGTGACACCAAAGACCTGCCAGATGGTTTCCTATAAGGTACGTTCAATGATAAATCTTTAGCGTATATTTTGTATATATTTTCTGAACTTCTTTCGTTTTAGATTGAAAACTTCACTGCATGTCTCAGTAAATCTGCGACTTGTTCGCTGAGCAGGCTGGCGTGGTTCGCTTCACTTATTTTGTCATTGCTCACATTTGCCTGAGATGATTCTACCTCGGGCAGAGGATAGACGCGATGGGACTCAACGGTCGTAATAACGCAAATGCTGTACTTGATAACTCCCCGACTCATATTTAATTTCTTGCATTCACTTATTATGGCAAAAGGCCTTATTTACAAAACTTTTAATTAGGGAATAAAGAGTGAACTGTAAATGTACATTAGTTGACGTTCTGAATGGTTGGTAATGCATGAGATTATATGCCCTCAAACCTAAAGGAAAACGAGTTCGAACATTTTAAAGACGCTGTTTTGTTGAATGCTTAATTAGAAAGCAGTGCCAAAAGTAGCACGTCTATTTGTTGGCTTGTTCCTTGATTTCACTTGCATTAAATGAGCAAACATGCTGCATTTTCGATCAAGTTGTCCAATACACGTCAAATTTCTTTCCTTTAGGTGAATATGTACGTATATTACCCAAATATTATCTTGGAGGAAGTCCGGCGCTGATGTATCAAGGGATGCATGCGGGCGGGACTCAAAAATGTGCTACTGTTTTTTTCTAGTAGCAACTATAATTACTTCCTAAGTTTCCACCTACTGTTTATGCTTGAGGCTTCTTCATGAAGAGATGGGAACGTAGAGTTCCGAGACTTCCCACCAGATAGAGGAAAGCATTGAGTTGAGCTAACGCCATAAATCCTAGGCGAGACAGAAGGAATGGAACCTTGGCTTGACTAGGAAGCCGGCCCAAGCGTGAAAGATAAAAGGCGATTGCTAACGTTACAGCAAAATATCAAGCTGTCACGCAAAACAAGTGTTACAGGATAGTATTTAAGTTGAATGCGATAATTTGGAAAGAGGAAGAAGATGGCGGACTCGGGTTTGGTCTACAGGCTGGTCTATCTTTCCAAGGCAAAACAGTTGATTTGGTAATCGCTACAGAAACAGGTAGCCAAGTTAGTGTCAATATCCACGATTCGGATGACTGGTTTCCAATCTTTAATTTAAGATCATACTGTATTACACCGATAAACTTCGACGCTTATAGTAGAAGCTTCCCATCACGGGATAATTTTGGCCTCAGGGAAAAATGACAGTAAAATCGAAACCCGAAACGCGGGTAAACGTGCATTGTTGAATGAAGTCTCGGGGAAACACCGCTATATTACAACGAATTTGCACTCGCTTCATAAGGTTTGTGCAGTAGAATCGGCTTACAAAGGCAGATGAAGTTCATTTAAACATAATTAGAAAATCTAATGCACATTACTGGATGGTCATTTGAGAATCTTTTGTGTACTCCTGCAAAGAAGTTTCTGAAGGGTTTTTAGCTTTAGAGTTTTGAGGTTATTTGCAAAATTAAATTACCGACAGTGCCAAAGTGTGATTCTAGAAATGTGTTCCACCTTATTTTGTTTAGTTGATTGTTGCTGAGGCTCTCGCTTGGAACGTGAGGTGGACTTTGTAATTTTGTTTTGGCTGTGTTTCGGTTTGATTGTTAAGCGGCGATGAAGATTCGATTATTGTCTCGAAATCCTGCCGACTATTTACGAGAAACAGCAGATGACATATTTAAAAGTAATATATGATGTTCGTTCATTCTCTTAGTGCCTCGTAACTACTCTGCTACGGAACATCCTTTTGCTGCCGAAAGGGAATATGTTAGGGCTTTAAATTCAGCCAAACTATCTCGAATGATGGCGAAACCTTTTCTTGGCTGTCTTGAGGGCACTACTGATACAATGACTGTCATGTCACTAAACACAGAGACAGTCGGCTTAGCTGTTTTTGGTACAGCGGATGGAAAAGTACTTTGCATTTATGGGTTGCTTCATTTGGTTTAGATTCAATATTGGGAAATCGGGAATCGAAAGCTTGTACATGAGGCTCCAGCCCACGCTGGTGAAGTACGAGGTGTCTGTCAATATCATAAATCTCAATTAATGTATTCAGTACGTCCACGTCCGATCATCCCCTCACCGATCATTTCAGATTCACGAATTTGTATTCTTGCCTTGCTTTTAGTGTGGTTTGGATTGTCAGTTGAAACAGTGGCGTATGGACCACAGTAATATTGGATCGGCTTGGTCAGAACCGCTTAATACGGTGCTTCTTGATTGTACACCACTTTGTCTCGACCACCACCCTTCGATGGATGCGTTTCTCGTTGGTACGCCCGAATCTTGTCTTCTTTATCACTCCACGCGTTTGGATGTTCCCGTTCGTGAGTGGACTTGGGGTCGGGAGGCCATACATCAGGCTACCTTTAACCCAGTAGAGCACAATCTCGTTGGAATTTTGACTAAGGATAACTCTATTATTCTGGCTGACACACGGGAGGATAGTCCCTTGCGGAAGGTGGGTTTGGGGTCATTTTTAGACGTCCCTTTTCCTGTCTCCTAACGTATGGTTACCTCAAAAACAGCTGAAAATGAACCTCAAATTGAACTCATTTTCATGGAATCCAATGGAACCATACGTATTTACTGCTGCCTGTGAGGACTACAATCTCTACACATACGATTGCCGCTTCTTCAGGCATCCAAAAAGGGTATTTATTGGTCACACCAATGCTGTCATGGCTGTGGATTACTCCCCTTCTGGCAGAGAATTCGTTTCGGGCTGTTACGATGGGACTGCAAGTTATCATTGCATTCTGACCAAGCTCTACATTTCCATGCGAATTGTGCTGAGTTCTGTTTTTCCAGTTTGCTAGATTGATTTGATTTGATGGTTTTCCAGGCTGCTTGTCTAACGATAAATAGGTTATGATCACATCGAGTGACTGGACAGCTGTACCATATCACGACTCCGAGGGTGAAAGTAGGAGTGATCACAAAGGCCCTTGTATCCACATGCATGCTGAAAATGGATGCTAGGAGTGTTTTGTGGGATGCAAAGGCACTCTTATGTTTGAGAAATGCACGTTTTTGAGCACGCTCATAATTTCAAGGCCTTTATTGGTGGCAGGTATTTGGGTCAAAGGGGCTGTGATTCACTCGGTATCACTTTGTTTTATATTTACTCATTTGCTTGATTTGCACCTTTTCCCTTAAGATTGAGCTCGATTTCATTGATTTCCAAATCCTTTATTAACAAGTACTTAGCTGCGTATTTTTTGATTCACTTGTTTTCTTTCAAAATACAACGGGGATTAAACAAGCCACCACTGGTGTGTTGAAACTTACTGAACAGGAGGTAAAGATATCGTCACTGTATTTAATACGTCGCATTTATGGTAAACCAAACGCAGTATGACCGCTTTTCTCGTGTGGCTATCAAATGGATTGCTAGTATGTATGCATGAAAACGTTGCCAAATACGTTGTTTTTTGCTTAAACAGTCGCCTATACCTTGGCACCTAGATACGCCTGTGGAGTGTTGAGCAGACCTCTTCAGTAGACGTCTACCACACGCGACGCATGAAGCGTGTGTTGACAGTTAAGTTCACTCTCGACGGTCGCTTTATTCTCTCTTCCTCTACGGATCAGAACGTGCGCTTGTGGAAGGCGCATGCATCGGAGAAATTAGGCCCCATGAAACCGCGAGAACGGGAGTCCCTGGCCACGGCAGAGGCACTGAGAGAGAAATATAAAGAGCACCCGGAGGTGCGTCGAATCCTTCGCAACCGCCATGTGCCTAAATCCATCTATGCAGCAACAAAGGAGCATCGCATCATTCGCGCTAAGGAGAAGAGGAAGCTGCGCAACGTGCGCATCTTCAACCGCTCCAATGTGCCTGTGGTGCCAGAAAAGGAGAAGCACACTGCTTCGCTGTACAAATAGGTTTCAGACGTCTTTCGATTTCATGTACACTACCTTTTCTTGTATATCGCTTCAGTTAAATGTTGAATATACTATTCGGAATATATAGCTGAACGGGAGGAATTGAATGCAATCTAGGTTGGCGGATTTTTGCAAAGGCATAAATATTGACCTGTTCAAAGTTGGCTTTCTTTTGAAGTGCTCTTAAGAATACCAACCCGTCCTTAATGTGGGATTTCGTGTCCATCAGGGGAGATAAATGGCACGAACCAGAGTGGAGTTAGCACTGGAAATGTTGAAGTGTTATTGTGGATTTGAGCAAATTAGTTTGAGTCAAAATCGAGAGTCAGTTATTTGAGTGTCTTATACAATTTGCTGAATTTATTAATTCACTGGCACTTAGTACCGTCTTCGGATGTGGTCTTCTAGTGGTTGTCAGCATCCTAATCTGATTCGTTTTTGATACCGTCGAAGGGACTGTAATGTTGATAGACCCAATCGTTTCTGTACGCCTAATATGCTTTCCTCCGTATTCGGACGATTTTCAGGACAACACCTTGGGGATAGAAGGAGAAAAGACACGCTAATGTGAGATAATAAATGGTACCTCGTAACAGAAGGGTAGAGATGACATTTGCCTTCTGCGCTTATACCAGTCTCAAAGTACGTGCATGTAAGTCTCAAGGAGGAGAGCGTGTGCTGCTTCTCCCGCTTTTCAACTAGCCAAATGGCTGGTCAGGGCTGGCGTGGAAGCATAGCATTAAGGAGGAGTCGATGTAAAACCGTTTTCAATCTCATACATTATTGAGTGTCTGTATTTGGGTCAGTGCTATTACGGTTACCGACGCCCACACCAGGCATGGGGGTCAGTTCCTGCTCTCATCATCGGTCTCAAAGCGGGCAAGACCCAAGATCTAGGCTAGACTGGATCGCCAATCGCATTCATCAGTTGCACGCAAATTTGGTGAGTGGTGCAAACAAATATTACAGCACTGTTTGCCAGTTAAGGGCTGGCGCGAGATGTTAATCAGGAGGAACATGGAGGATATGTGAGCCATGTTGGGGTTTCGCCATTGTGCCCTATCCTACCGCGCCATGGAGGTACCGTCTTCCTGTACTTTCGAGAGTGTCTCCAGGCGCTACACTTGAGTATAAGTGTCAATTTGGAAACCACTTTACTAGAAGAATTTTGAGCAGTTCGGAGACTGCTTCGTCCCTACTTTCCATTCCACCCCGACAGCCTTTGCCCTACGGTAACCTGCATCTCAGTGACGACTGCATGGTTCCGTGCAAAACATTATCCTTAGATGGCTGTCAAGAGCAAGACTGGTCTCGTCTTTTGGGTTTCTGATGCCTGGTCCTTCTGAATATCCACTGTATTCTTCTCAAAGGCTTTTCATGTCATACCAACTCGATAGACCTCGTCTCGTTACTTCTGGCTTGCGATAATAGCACTGTTTATGGCTCTAGAAAACGTTTCTTTTTTGTTTTGTTTTGAGATTCCTCACTTTTGTGATTTTTTCCCAATCGTCCCGAAAGGTTGGGTTCTTCACCAGTCCCCCTTAAATTCTCAAGATCGCGTACGAATGCATGCCAACTGCCTAGCTAGGAGCTCGAAGTTCATAACATGTGTTTAGGGAATCGCGTCAATTCAAAATAGTATGCGACTCACTCCCGAACCTTGTCTGATTTCCACAATCTATTCACCGAAGAGATAACTAGTATTACCGATTGGTCAATTTTCAGACAACGAAGCTCGGACTGTTTCGTGGAAGAAGGCATTCAGTGTTCAAGTGATTAGCTTGTGCTTTATTTACAAACCTAGGGGCGATTCTGCAAACGTTGGCATTGATGACCGGAATAATAATTGCACGTAACAGGGGAGCACAATTGTGTAAAGATTAGAATAGGTGTTCGCATGTCTATGACAGAGAGAAGGATTATACACAGAGAGTAAGGTAAGCTGCGGCACGGTAGCAGGAATGAGAGAAATAGATCCACATCTACGTGTCTTTCTGACCGCCTGTGCGCAAAGGATCGTTTGTCAGGGTTGTAGAAAAAGGAGGAAGCAGGAACTAGTCGAAATGGTCGGAGAATGTCTGTGTGAATCCACAACCCATCTAGCTCATGATGGATTCAATCACTGCTTCTCTGGCACACGAAGAATTCAGAACGCCTTCCGTTTCTAGTAGTGGTTTCGAAGACTTTGGTGAAGGTGGGGCTTCAGCACCTTTGGAGGGGATATCGTCTGCCTCGAATGGAGGCCTTGTAGCAGGACTGGGAGTGCATGTGGAAGGCTCTCGACATCCAGGTGTACTAGGAGCTGTAGCAACTGAATCCTCTCCAGTTGGCACTTCCAAGGATGAATGAGCATCGCCAGAGTTTAACAGATGCGAGGCGTGAGCCCAAGTACTTTCAAAGTATCTCCTCAACTCGTGGCCTGCTTTGCCGATCTCGGAGTCATCCTCGTTAAATATACGGCAGTTTTTAAAAATTTGGCGCACGTCTTCTCTCCATTCTGCCACGGAAGTGTAATAATTCCTGAAAAAAGGGAAGCAAAAACTTTCAACAGGAAGCGTATTGGGAGAGGAAAATGGGGAAAACATGCACCTCGCTTACCATCTGTCCGCACCTAGGCGTTTAAGAATGGTCGACAAGTCCATAGGCCTTTTGATAACCTTTCGATATATCGGAACTGTCTTGCAGCAAACCGGTTTTCTGAAGGGCCAAGACAATTCGTGTCTCATCAGGTCCTCTGTTGCGTGCCTACGAAAAAGTTAATGGGACTCCAGTTAAAGCAACGTTTAACGAATCGCTAAACATCCAATGCCCGATTTTACGTCTCATCTATAAAGGACTCAGATTTGTCATTTTGACAGAGTACAGCGGGTAGCAACGAAACACCGAGATCGTGAAGAGCGGTTCCCTCAATGTGTTTAAAGTGGGTTGTCTCCACAGATAACAAGACGGTGTTCTCATCAATGCTGCCTGATTGGTAAAATGGAACCAGACCAAGCCTTCAACTCATTGAACAATTATTTTGTACCCCACTTGGCTTTTAACACATTCAAAAATGCAAGATCAATGTGAGCACCTCGGTAGCAGCTGTTTTTGGGTCAAAAGCCTCCACGCTGACCTCAGCCCAAGCCTTTAAAGTGGTTTACTGAGGTCAAAGATGGAAATGCGCACCAAAGAAGGTTGAACAATTTGCATAAAATACCTTGAAGGCAAATTTGCCACTGAAATTGTGGTAACGCACCCGACAGAGAGACTAGATTCCTTATTTTAACATCTTACCTGCAAAAATTACGTTCGGAAAGACTCAGTGGTGATTTGCGTAATTTTCCACACCGTTTAGTCACTGTGGACTTCCTCGAAGACGAAATTCCATTGGCCAAAACTGCTGGTTCCAAATCTTCCTCATAGTCATCTCCATCATCGCCGCTAGCCTCTGTGATCCGCTCCTCGCCTCCACCACAGCCTCCACTCCCTTCCTCTCCATCACCTCCACCATATTCAATGTCTTCCTCCTCGACATCCTCGTCATCAGCCTCATTCTCCTCACCAGTCTCTGCGTGAGAGCGTTTGTAGAAGCCCAAGGGACGACCGCGTTTCCTGAAGGAGGAAGAGTCCTTTCGCTTATTACTGCTACCGCCGCTGCTGCTGACGCTCCCGCTTGTGCCTTTTGGTCGTCCTACCTTCCGCTGTTGTTCGGTTATCTTCTGTCTTGCCGACTCACTTTTGGATTTTGTCGTGCGTTTGGAACTACGATAGGCGCCTGACTTGATGTAGACACGTTTTGGACGCTCGATTTGAGCAGCGTTAATCTAGAAAGTGAGGAAGTAATGAGATGCACACATCAAGTAAACTCGCATAAGGCTGCACCAAATTCCTTCCTTTGAACAGCATTTATGGTTTATAGGCTGATGGTTCAACCTCCGGTAGCACAAGTAAGTAATAAAACATCTGATATTTGCCCTAACAGCATTTCTTTCAACAAAGTACATGAGCTTCTCCATCGATACCAATAATTCGCACTATTATAAGGAACTGGAAACGCTTATTCAAGGCTGAAAATTTTGCAAAACGGAAGCAATGCGGGCACCAAACCTTTTTCGTCAAGTGCATCTCCGAGGTGACCGTAGTGGTAGCTACCACCTTTTCCACCGCTCCGCTCACTCCACTGGCTGCACAGAGCATACAGGTCCATCTCTTGGGCAATCTATTCAGAGGTGGTCTTAGACAAGCGGGATGAGCACCGCGTGCACAGGAAGCGCATTGCACTAGTCGATGTGCCGGATCCACAGCCGTCGTTGGAGCCGTCTCCGCGGCTCCCACGGGCCTAACAAGGCCGCAGACGAAACAGTGACACTTGCCTGTAGCTTTTGAGACACAATCATAGCAAAACCAATCCCCCTCAGGGATAGAAACCATTGGAGGGCGGAAGCAGTAAGTGTGGTACCCGTGATCGCAGCCGTCGCAAAGCAAAAGACGTGCTTCGTTCTTATCCCGTCTGCAGATCTGACATAACTGAAACAATAAATTAAAAGCCACACAGAACCTCTAGTGGCAGTAGCAATTCAACAGCACAAAAGTCATGAATCACCAAGCACTGTTATAATTGATTTGTTACTTGTCTTCAAATTATGCATCATTATAAGCTTCTCAGAGGTTTCTTAAGTACTCAAATAACACTCAGTAGCATGACGCAGCACAGAACGGGCTTAACACCAAATGACACATTTTCCAATCCCTATAGCGTAGCATTTGTAGGACTGGCAGTTGCAAACAATGAATGGCCAACTTCTTACTCACCACTTTCATGATGGACTTGTCCCATGCAATCGCAGCCTCAAATTGCATAGCACATCTTTTCAACTCGGCCACAGAGTCCGCTTTACGGGTGTTGCGCCTCCATAGCAAGAGACCCTGTGCTTCACCAGAGCCCCCCTCCACCCCACCGCTACCACCACCTCCGTCGACCTCCTCGCCTTCTACCTCGCGTTCGCTGCGCCGCAGTGCACGCCTCCGGATGTGCAACGGTGGCGGTGGATGTGAGTGAAGTGTTGCCGCGGTTTCCTCATGAATTGTCGAGTCACTACAAACACTTCCGCTACCCTCCACCAAAGCCGCTGTGTCCTCGATGGCTGCTGCCGCCGCTGCCTGTGCCTGAACCGCATCCAGGCGTGACTCACAGTTCAGAGGGGGAAGGAGATAGCGTCGCTCGGTATGTGCTTCTAGGTCAAGCAGGCGTTCACGTGCCAGTTCTAAGGGCCAGTAGTCGTATCGGTAAACTTTGGGTGTGTCGCGTGGAACTATTTGTATGGAGTCGTCCTCGGTTGCTTTCATTGGAGCCTGTAGGTTGAGGCAAGAGATAATCATCCCCTGAGTTAATGACGACTCACATATGGATAAATCTCTTTTTTTGATTTTTCCTGAGGGCCAAACTAATTGTCAGAATTGTGATACGATTTGATGGAACAACTTGGAAGTAGTTCTTAATTTTCAAGCCACTCAAATCCCTCAGTTAGCTATTAAGCTTGTTAGCAGTGTGGCTGTAAATGATTACACCTTCTGCGTTAGTTTCGAGATTCATTTTACACTAAGCAGAATACTAAAGCAATATTAAAATGTCTGCGTAGCGTAATTTCTACCTGCCAGCCTTTGGTCTGCAAACTAGCTGAGAGCACTCGATCAACAAGCCCTTCAACCAGTTCCAAGAATCTGTATTCATCGAGGAATTCTCGCTCAGCAGCCGTTGCTGTAGCGGTTGAATTGGCAGAACTCCGACCTGACCGCATCGCACGTTCAAAGTTCTCTCCAAGAAAGACACTCTGCTCTATTGTAGCTTCGGGCGAATTCTCACAATCTCCACGGAATGCATAAGTACCCACGTCGCCTATTGCGGTCTCGGAGAGATTTGTCGCCGATGAGATTTGTGAGGCGGAGCCTGTGAGGTGACGTCCGGAGCTAAAGGCTGCCAGGTTGGCGGCTGAGGAGGTGGAATAGAGTAAATTGGATGGGTTGGCTCCACGGCCCTTGCCGCGGCGCGACCGAACTCGGAGAAGGCGCGGCTGCCAACCGCTCTCTGATGATTTTGAGGCAGAACCGAGGTCTAAAACTGATTTAGATATTTAGCAGTAAGATTTTCTGTTGCTAGTCTTTTTGCTTCATTTATTTGAATGCAAAAAACAAAGGTCGCAACCCAACAGAAAGCTGTACAATTAATCTGAATCCAGTGTTAATGCAAAAAGGAGGAGCTTTGAGTGAGTTTAATCCATTTCTCATTCAAGTTGATGACTTATGACAGCTAAATGAGCCTAAATAATTGGATATAAATAGAGAATCAAATGAGCACGAAAGAACTTCTACAACGCCTGGCAGCCTTATAAGATTGTTAAAATTGTGCCAAAAAAAAGATACCAGCCGAGGGGTCAACATGGATCGACGAAGTAACAGCATCTTCGGACAGCTGAATAGTCTGAGCCAGACTTCTCTCGCGAATGCCTCTCGGAAGAAGTGCCTCAAGCAGGATCTGTAGACCCTCTGAACCCTTCACCCGCCACCAGTCTCCCTTAGCAGCCGCCGGAATTAATTCCAACACCTCGGGTCCAGATTCTTGCACCTCTCTCTCCTTGAGGATTCGTTCTACCTCCTTTGCCATTTCCACATCATCGAATTGCGTAATATTCGCAGTGGATGCATTTAAATGTTGCCGTTCCTCACCGCCCTCCAAACCACCGTCCACTAACCACGTCTTTAATCGTCTCAGTGCTGTTGAAAGTGCTTTCTCATCGTTCTCACAGTTTTTGCGCCTCTCTAAAGCTATTGAACGAACCAGTTGAAGTTTGTAGAAGAGTAATTGGACATGCCAGCTGGGGTCCGTCCAACCCCCCATGAGCGTGGAACGATCGATAGCGTCGGTCTGCGTAGCGAAAAGAAGAGTAGCAGTGGTCAAGAAGGTGTCATCGAGTTGGCATTCATCTAGAGCAGAGGCCAGATCGTGCTCAGTTAACGATTGACAAAGAGACAGATCGGATTGTTGGGAAGACAGGGGTGTGAGGACAGATGGAGGTGAAGCTCGCTTTGTAGAGAGATCCAATGGTTGCCAAGTTGTCGATTCTTCAGGGCTTTCCTCCTTCTTTGGCGTTTTTCTCTCAAATTTCAGTGAAACTGGTTTGTCTTCTTCTAAATAGTCATCTTCCTGATCTTCCCCCCTTTTATCACCATTTTCTTCTGCCTCCTTTACCTCCTCCGCTGCATCCTGAAAATCTTCTGCAACGGCATCGACAATTCCAATTATTTTTTCCTTCTCTTCTAGCTCATACTTTACCACCAGCTTAGCTTCACTCGCAACCTGTATTATTTCCTCGCTTTTCGCGCCTTCATCCTCAGGCATTGCAGTTTGTTTTTCAATTTTCGTAGTTGATAATGCACCAGAATTCGACGCTGATCGTAAAGGATTCGGCTTTTGTGTCAACACAGCATTATTAGAAGTGCTACTGGAGTTTGTACTAAAGTGCCGGGTTATGGAGAGCTCCCTTCGGGCCTTGATTTCGGCCACAATGGCATCGGGATCGAAAATTGGTGGTACATCGCGAACAGCTGAACCGTCCTTAAAAACCGTTGGTTGTCCCTCCACGTAGATCCCACCCACACTGCCGAGAACAAAGTAATTCCGATAGAATCGGTCCTGACCCAAAAATATCCCCGATAATCGGAAGGAGCATTCCTCGATAGCCCGTTGTTTTGCCTCAAGGCAGTGGTGCAGCGTCTCAATGCGCTTCTCCAACTCTTCGATACTGTTCAACTCATCCTCATCACCTGAGTCGTAGTTGTGGAATGATGCTGGCTGACGCATGTTCTGTAAGAAAGCGGGTTGCTTTTTGCTGCTCTCTTCTTCTGATTCTCTCGAATCGACCGTGTGATCCAAGCCAAATTTCCGAGCCAAAATCACACGGATCCTACAAAAGGGGAGTTAAGTTTTCAGAAAGCATTACATTTCGTTGAGAGAACGGAGAAGGAATTCGTTCATATCCAGTAAAATAATGAGCAAGTAAATGAACAAATAATTAAGGAAAGACCGGATGAATAATTTCGGGACGTACTTTCGGATCTTCGCCTCAAGATTAAACTTGTCCCTTCTCAATGATATCTGCAACTCAATGGTTCGGTCGACCTCATTCGAGATGATGCGGCTAGAACAGGTCAGCTCATCACAAATAAACGCCAGGAGACTGGCCAACTGAGGACCCGAAAGATCCTTAAGATGACCTACATTCGAAGGCGCCAACCAATCAGACATCTCGTCTTCGTAGCCATTTCGACCGATGAGAAAGACACGCAAAAGTCCGGTTACAGTCTGGGTGTTTACTTCCATTTCACTAAAACGCTGACTCAGAAGCTGAGTTACCTACAGACAGGGGTAGTTACTTAGCTAGGGATGAAGGATGACGATAGGAAGCCATACAATAGATCAAAGCTAAATGAGCATACCAGTCGGGGTGTAGGAATTCCAGGGTCGAGGATAGCAAACTTGAGCAGTTCAATTATAAGGTGATTGATAACCTCGATGCAAGTCTCGTCCCTATCAATGAATGCCGCTTGCATGCACCCCATGGACGGGATAGTCTCAGGGTCTGAAAAAGATCAAAAAAAGTCGACAACACTCTACTTACAAGATCCGAGTAGCACAGTAAAGTTAGAGTAAGCTTACCGATGCAGAGAACCTCGGTAAATGCGTGTAGGAATTCCAGAACAAAAAGACAATCAGTGAATACTTGGCTAGGCATACGGTTCCCGTCAATGCGATCGAATTCAGGAAGAACCTTGTGCAATGAAAAAAGAGAAGTAAGGTCTAATCGTGCCTCAAAGTAAGCATTATTTAACCTGCACGAACAGCTTGCCAAGTCGGTTTTGTATGCATGGCTGGACCTGAGGTTCCGAAGCGCAAAAAACAAGTTAGTTCTACGCTAGCGAAAAAAGAATGGCCAGATGGGGAGCAGAGGGAAAGGAATTGATTAATTGCTTGGCACGGCAAAGCAGACTGACGAGTCTTAATAATTTAAAAGTCCCATTTATATAAGCTAGGGGCGAAGTTTTGCACGGTCATAACTTTGTGTTTTTCTCAACTAGAGTTTCGGTCTTAGCTTTAAACCCCTGTCAGTGTTCATTCCAATTTCAGCTTGACTTAGACCATAAAACTGTCTCATTAAAATGTCGTCTGCATGTCTCATGCTGACGCAGGTCCCAAAAAATCAGATTAGCAAATACTTTCCCTTGGCAAAACCGTTACTTGAAAGCTTAACTTAACATTTTTAAATCCAAACCCTCAGAGTGCGAAGCAAAATAATGCGCATAGCAATTGTGAACACGGAACGTCTACTGTCCCAAATTTTGAAGAAATCGCCACCTTTTAAACCATTTTCATAGGCTTTCGACTTCTGATCCACGATTCGATGACAGTCACAATGGAGTCTCAAGCTCACTTTAAGGGATTAAAAGTCTCTGTTAGGTGATCCAGTCGCCTAACCATCACACTTCTGAGCCCAGGTCGAAGACCAGCAATCGCAATACCTTGAAGGCAGTCAATTCCGGTTCGGTGTGAACGTAGCACTTTTTTATAAGTTTAAGTACTGCCTTTTAAAAGACTATGGCAGACTTGGACAAGTGTCTTAAAAGAGAGAGGGTTTTCATGCTCCAACAAAAGATAATGCATTCGCAAGGCAAGGAAGGACTCATCATAGCGTCCAAACTGATAGAAGTTAGTTGCCGCTTTTGGATTACTCTTGTGCACAAATATGGAGAAGAGCTGTCAAACTCGATTTTACTTGCGTGATGGGGGATACGGGGCATCAAATGCAACCTTTATGCTACTTCCTCTTAACACTTTTCTGCAAATTCGAAGCCTGCTGTCATTCAGGGGGGTGGAGAAAGGAAAGGGGGATTTGATATAACGATTTTTGATGAGTGGACAAAACGAGTTGAAGGCGTTCTATGTGGCTGCTTATGCAGACAAAGTAGGGCGATGTTGATGGTTTCGGACACAGTTGTGGTCGTGATTGTGTAGATGATGACGCTGTTGGAAAGAAAAACGCCAATCGTTGTTTGTAGCCTCTTTATGCCCACACGCACCACCTCCCCGTTCATCTATTGGTCAATTCCTGCCTTACCCCTTGTCCTAGCCTAACTCCCTGGGGAAAGGGAGATAGGACTTAGAATAACAACAAAAAATTAACTGCAAATTTGGGTAAATTTGCTTATCTCTCTGTGTGTGTATGTATGGATGCCGACGTGTACGTTGCCCAGACAATCAATGGAACCACACTAGAGACACTCTTGGCCTGCCTAAGTGTGCACATGTTGTTAAGGCAACCGCCCCAACTGCGTGCCGATGGATATGGACGGAGAAGAATTAAAGAAAGGTTTTCAAATGACCCATCGAACTCACCTTAGGATTGAGGATGTTCAAATCCTCCACAGGTCGTTTTAACTCTTCTTCCACGAGGTAGGCAATGCGCTAAAAGGGGAAGCAGTCGGCTGTAACTATTCGCCTATTGGACTCGTCTCGATCGAAATTTAGGCCTATTGAAAAGCAGAGGTCATCTCAAATGAAAACCTCCACAGCACTTTCATGAATGTTTATGGTATTGAATTGCTACCTGTAGGATTATTCGCATTGCTGCAATGCAAAAAAATTAGTTTTCTGAATTTCCGCAGGACAGCAAAGTCAGGTTTGTTGACTTAGCAAAGTCGCATAACAAAAAACTTCTTCATAGCTCGTGTGAGTAGGAAAAGTACAAATTGAGGTAAGTAATATTTCGTGGCAGTGAGCACTGAGCTGGATAGTCTGTAATCGAGGGCATTTGCACTTTCTGTAGCCAGAAATATGCCTATGCCTTGAAGCAATCTCGGCAGTCAGTCGCACTAAGTGAGGCGAATTTGTCGCGTCTTTTGCAGTGCATTTCAGTATCGCATTATTCATTTCAGCAAACTTGTGCGTAAAAAGTGCACTGAAAGTCGAATCAAAGGGCCATAAAATGACAAAACGCAAATACTGATTGCCATTACTTCGACTTGAAGGCGTCCCAACCACAGTGCAACAACCAGTTAGCGGCGTTTGCATAACGTCGATCGAACCCTTCAACCAGCAATTCTGTGGCACTAACAAGTGTATGGCCTCGGTGTTTGTGAGATCTCAGCCATGACTGTTACTAAGTCAGCTTAAACTAACAAGGAAAACCACCAAATAAAATGGTGTTTGCGCCCTATCCTTACGCCTTTAAGGCCGATAAGCAATTTTCTGCTTTTGCACGAATCTGGATCACAACTTAATCAGCCATAAGATAAAGTTACCTCTTCGCGTGCTTTCGCGATCTGAACCTCCAAATCGGCTTGTCTTTGAGTCTCTTTCTCGCTCTCCAGGCGTTGGTGATCCTCAACCAATTTCGTAAAGAAGGCTCGAAGTCGATCGAAATCCTAAAATGGCATTGAAACAATACATCTGCGGTTTTTAATTCGTAGTGTAGATTCTTTCCCCTCATAAAAAAACGCAAAATTTGCAGCTTTAAAAGGGAAAAAAGTACGAAGATCAAACCGTTCATTAGATTAGAAGGTTATTAAGCCCTCAAACTTGAACGAATTTAGCCTCAAGATCCATTAGCCTAGAACTTTGGCCTCGAGAGCTGAACTATTATAGAAATTAGTGCAGCGAGTTTCTTCACTACTCTAAAAAAGTAGGAACTAATTGTTCTAAAAACAAAAATAAATAGGACATGTGAAAAAAGGAAAGGTGAGGATCTGCTTTAGAATCTACCTCAAGGTTGTTCAAGCTTGAAGATTGGAGGGAGAAGCGATCCTTCTGTTGAGGTTGCTGCTGTTGCTGAGTGGAAGGAAACACGAAATTGGATGAAGAAGTCGACGGAGGCGACACCGCCACGGAAGACGCTTCAGGGTTTTGAATCCCTGATGGCCATGGTGACCACAAAGATCCAATTTGATTGGCCAGGGCGGAGGTCAGTTGAGGCGAGAGACTAGGAAACCGAGGCAGAGCCAAGGGAAAATCGGTGAACGGTTTTGTGTAGGTCTCCACGTTCGCTGTTGCCATTCCAGCCATGAGATCGGGATAAAACGCTACACCTGCATTATCAGGATCAGGAGAAAAGGAATAGGAATGCCGTCTAGGACTAGGATTGAAAGATGAGTGCTGGTGCTGCTCAGTATCTGAGGCTGTGCATATGAGTAAGCAGCGACTATACTGTTTGTCTTCTACTATTTTGATGAAATTAAGTCGACTCACAAATTTAACGCAAACGGTTAGGCTTAAAAGGACATTTAAGAACAAAGAAACGGTTTTTAGCAGCTCAAGCTATGCTCAATTTAACAAAATATTTTTTGCAATGTACTGGTGTTGTAAATAAACTATTTTTCTGGGGATTTGACGGCTTGTGATGGGTGTCCCTCCAGGAGCACATTGGCCGACATCCCGCAAATCCATAGGCATGGAGTATTAGGAGTATAGTACGAAATCCAAACTAAGAATATGAAAATACCATTCAAGTGACATGTTAAATTCTGTAATTTTTGCAGTCTTCAACAATTGCTCTGTCTAAACTTGGCATCTGCTTCCATTTATCTTCAATGCTTTCCTTACAGAAATCGCAATGAGGCACTCATTGTTGTTATTTGCTGTAGCTAATTCGATTGCAACTGCTCCGAGACTAGCGCAGAGCGATTCTCCTAAGAGTAAGAACATTCTACTTCGACCTTATGGTAGCATATTTTGACAGTCATTTGAGGCATGCGTTGATGCAGCCATCTTATCATGGAGTGATGAAGAACGTCTCACATTTGTGAGGTGAGGACTCAAATGAGGGCGTCTGAGCCTCATTGGGTGTAGTTGATGCTGATGGCCACTGCTGTGCACACATCACGAGGGTCATTTCAGAATCCCTCCTCCCAAGATAATTTTATTGCTACATTTAAATGCAAAGTGGCATCGTCTTCTCAGAACTTTCTCCTTAAATTAAGTTGCTGGCAAAGAAGTCTAAAATGGAGGTCTATGTCTCTTCCAGTAAATCCTATCGCAAAGTTCCTTTTAATCACTAATGTTTACGACCCGACGTAGGGATCTTGCTTTTGTGCATGAGAGGTTATTATCAAACAAACTGCTGTTGCTTGTTGGACCAAACCTGAGAAGGACTTTCCAGCAGCGTTACTTGAAGGAACGGAAGTGGTAGCGGCAGCTGCAGTGGACGAGGGAGAGGTAGAAGGAAAAACTGCTTGAGGCGTCCGCCGATGACTTCTGGAGGGCGACTCTTGGCCGGTGGTGATGAGTGCGTTTACAGCAGCTTCAGACATCTTTACAAACCCCTTCAAAAAAAGAGAACAAGCAGTTTTAGTTGTGTGAATGCTCAATGCACGATTTATTATTCTTGTTTTTCATTATTGCGTACTTTTGAATCCTTGTTGCACTCATAGTAGTCGCCGAGACGGACGTAGGATTTGAAGGTAAAATCTTCTGTGGTTAAAATGCTATTCTTTGCCGATCGGAGGTACTAGATTAACGCCAAAACAGATTCTCAATTCACTTCCAGGCTGAAAGGCTTAACAGCATTTACAAGTTGAAGTCTCTAATTTTGATCCAAACTACAGACAGTTGTGTGAAATGTGAATGAAGCTGATTTCTTCCATTTCCAGTGCTATTTCCCTCAGATCACAGCGTGTGAGGTAGATTTTCGCCTTCTGTAATGTGATGCCAAATTGCTATGCAATCGGCCGTGTGAATGACTAGCACTGCGGTCCTTCCTTCCTCCGATTAGCAAAGGATAAAATGCATGTAGGATGAAGTCGACCAAAATGTACCTGCTTTAGGGCTTAAAGCCCTAGTCAGGTTTAACTATGAATTGGTGCAGAGTCAATTGTTGGAACTAAGCAAATATCAGCAAAATCACTTTATGTTGGATGAACACAGAAGTAAAAGCTGCAAATGTAAGAGTCAGATACAGTTGTAGGCGTGCCATTGTTTATGTAAATGTGAGATGGAGACACTGTATGGACATATCATGCAAATAAAACATCATCTTGAATCCCAGTGGACCCTGTTGACAAAAAAGCCTAATTTTTACAAATAGCGACATCTCCAGTTCCCTTCACCTCTCGAATACCCTCGATGTTCCAAAATTGACGACCGCAAGGCGCAATATAGACCACGTCTCCCAACAAACCCCCCGGACCGACACCTTTCACGAGAGTCTCGCGACGCCATCTAAAAGGAATTACACATTTTTACCATCCCTTGTGACATAATTTGAGAGCACAGCCAGTTGACAATTTTTAAAACGCACCCCAAACCCAAGGGAAGTCGATAACCACTGTCAGTGAAGCCTCGTGCTCGTTTGTGACCTAAAATAAGATATGACGTTTGTGAGACTTCTTCCCCCCACCCTCACCCCCTCCCCCAAAAAAAAAATAATTTCCTGTTGTAAGTCTTTAAAAGGAGTACATAGCAAAGTAGAAGTCAAACACTTCTTCGAGCAAACAACTCAAGCCGAGTGCACAAGAGGCCCGATTACTCAGCAAGCATTTTCGCGCCATATTCGATGCAATATTTGCAGTGCTTCAAAGAATAGCCCTCGTCGCAGGTCCTTAGGGTTAAGGATTACCTTTACAGAGCATTTACCCACTCCTAGTTAAGTGAAGTTGCAAAGCATAGACAGATTTCCTCTGAGATGTAGCAAAATCCATAAGAATTGTCGGGAGTCACAGAAGTGAAGTGTAAATATGTTCGCATTAGTAGACCAGAAGTGGACATGCAGGTTGAATTTTGTTTGATGAAGTGGCCTCTTCATTCCTTTGTAACCGCACAAACGCTGAGGGCTTAAAACATCTGGTTTTAGTGCTCACTAGAGATCTCATGACGAAAGGACTTTATCCAACACCGCTGGGTGTAAATAGCATCCGAGTGAATTTATTACCTGACGTCAATGGCTCAATAACTCAAGTCAGTATTTTAACGAGTTATTTCAAGAAAGTGGCTCAACAATAGATGGCAAAGACTGATGCTCTAATTACCTCACTCATTAATAGAGGCCTGTTGCAAGGACCCACCTGATGTGTCTGATTTGGATGTGGAAACAGGAGCACCAGAAGTTGTCGGTGTGGTGGCAACTGAAGCTACTGCGGAAGCAGTGCTGGAAGTCATTTTGTCAGCAGAGTCGATGCGCCTTCGTTTACGGCTGTTCGAGAGGTCGACAGAGTCGTTGAGGCGTTTGAGAACGTCAGTTATAGTACCGTCGATACTGTTCAAGTCGGCTAGGCAGGAATCGGGTTGTGGGGTCGATGTCGTAGCTCGACTAGGTTTGTCTAATTGGGTCTGTATATTCAGAGATGGTATACGGACGTCAAGAGTAATTTACAAATACTCGCGGTACACTTGAACCCCCCGCCTTCTAGACGACTTCGTCAATTACTTGGCGTGGATCGCCTACCCATTAGATTACTTCTACATTACCATGACTGAAAATTGATTCAAATCGAAAAAGAAAAACGATTCATGTTAAAATGTCATAGCCGAATGTAAAATTAGATTCAGGTTGATAGGTATGGAATCTTTCCGAATTTTTATTTTTTGACGTTGTTGATACTCCTTAGAAGGAAACATGAGATGAGTGATAGGACTGACTCTCAGAGCGGTTCAACATAGTTCACTGACTCGGGAAGTATGGCGAGTTTATAATTCCTACGTAAAGTTTAGGATAAATAACATGTCGAGGCACACACATTAATTAAATCGCCTCTTTTTCATCAAGGTAAAACATTTTGTAGCAACCATAAGCTTCAACAGCCTCGGAAACAGATGACCTTTATGATGACAAATGAGCTCTGCATGCCGAGACTTCTCGCGGAGTCAAGTAGGGGGGAAGCGGTTTTCCAGGTAAACAAGAGAACCATGAAGCTGTGGGGATCGCAGCATTTGAGTTTAGTCACCTTACCGTAACCCTCCATCTCTCTCTATCCAAGCGTTGCCTACATCGCACTCGTTAAACTCCCTTTAAGGTCCAGTCAGTTAAGGTTTTATTTTTTTGCTTACGCCTAAGAGTAAAGAAGCAGCGCTAATATCCGTTGATGAAGTGATAAGTCGTAATCTGTTGTTGGCCAACTCAGAAGTCACCGCAGCACTGTAGATTTTGAACCTGGGGCGAGCTATCTCTTGAGCACTTCCAACAAACAATTGAATAAATTCAAACGCTGAGAGGGAGAAAGTGTCCTCTCAGCGGTTTACAATGAGTGAAGAAGCATCAAATTAGCTCCAATTCTAATGTCAGCCAGTTGTGCCAGGATGTTTCACAGCCACAGCATTTGCAATGGGAATTGGTTATAGAATTGAGGACAGGCAGAATCGATTCATCAATTCAAGGATTCCCTAAGTACCCACGCACCTTAGTTACGGCTAAAGAAGACTTGGGAGGTCTTCCTCTGCCCCTATGTGGCTGGCCTTCGCGACTTGGTGTTGCCCCTAGCGCTGTCGACCGATGGGATAGGTGGGAAGACGGTTTGGTGACTGCTATCCGATTCTGCTGTTGTTGTTGTTGTTGCAGAACCGTCAACGCAGCTGCGGCGGCGAAAGCTGCTGCATTCTCTCCGGCCCCTTGGAGAGGAAACCTTGATGTGTTTGTGAGAACCCCAGAGGATGACGTGGACATTGATGTTGTTGGGACAAGCGAATCCTTTGTCTGGCCTTGTGATGCGCTGGGGGCCTAAGTGCAGGCAAACAGAATGTTAAAGCTTCCTTTATTGTGTCTACTCTGTCAATATGTCGCCTTGTAGCTCCCGAATATTCTCCTACCCCACGCGCTTGAGGAACTGCAAACATAAGTTAATAAACGGAGGATGTGTTGAACTAGTGTACCAAAAAAAGTGGAGGTAGAGTTAAAACTTCTGAGCATTGTTTATCCTTTATCCATTAGTGTACTTATTTCTGAAGCAGGACTCGTTCAATTCGAGGTGGTAAATGTACTTAAGTGAAGAAGTGGTGAAGGTTTTAGTTGAGAACTCACTTTTATGACTTAGGTTAATCGAAATAAACGAGGCTTAGGCTGTTAAATGTGGTGAGAAGCGGTGTCCTTAAGGCCCCATCTCGCTCTTAATTGTAGCAGTTGTTGACCTTTGTTCAAGCTGTGCTTTAGAAGTTGCTATGACAACCGGCGCTTGCGCACAAAACCCCAGCCCAGGCGACCTTTAGCACTAAGGCAGTGAAAGAGTGCGAGTAATTCGCGAACGTCGTACGAGAGAAAACTGGCCGTTGGCGAGTGCAGGGAGACTCACCCGAGAGGAGGCAGAGGAAGGAGTGGACGCACTACTGCTTTGATTAAGACCCTGTGTTAGCTTTGCCAAAACGGTACTGAAGGACTCGTCCGTTCCGGCTACTGTTTGTGCAGCTGTGGAAGTCTCCTCCACACCATCTGCACGATAGGAGCCTAAAAGTAACGAACTGGTACCCATCAAGTTCTAAATACAGCGAATTCAGTGCCACCTTCCTTAAAAAAAAGGATGCACTACGCCTTGAAAGACTCGGATTTCGACGCGCTCCATGTGGCAAGTTCAGTTGATACGAATTTCATTGAAAGTGGTGCTTGAAAAATTTATTGTTTTGCGAAATCGCCTTTGCATTAACGGTGGTACCAAAGTAACTCGATCTCAAAAGTTCCTCATGACTAAAACTTAAGCAATTTTCGGAAGTAACAGCTGTCAGGTTTACCAAATCTATTTTCAAGACCAAATTGACAGATCGGGTTTACAAACAGGGCGCAGATACAGTACTCAGCGCAAAGAAATTGCTAGAATTACCGTCCTTCCAATGTCCAAATTAAGACATGATTCACGGGCCATAGCTCATGAGTGCCCACCTCCCAGTGAATCGTTTCAATACCGCCAAGGTCAAATTGTGATTTCACTGAACGCTAAACGCCATCTCAAGCAACTCATAACCGCCAAAGCTCAGTAAAGCGTGTTTGCAATTTCAACTTGGCTGCAATTGTGTATAAAATGCAAACAATCTGATTTCATTTGCTACAAAGCCACCTAAAAAGAAGAGAAAACATATTTCATTGCAAAAATCGCGATTCCGTCAATTTGCAAGCAAAGTGACTAGTCTGCCCTTGGTGAGTTTCATGCACAACTCGATTACTACTTGCGAGAGGGCGGAATGAAATTTAGAGTATGGAAATCGGTATTTTAATTGGGGAAATAAATTTGCTGCTGCGCTTACACATGGCGTCCCCAAAAGCGAACAATGCAAGTAATTATCATCTTCGAAGCTGTTGCTGCTTCTGCTGCTACTTCTGCTGTTGTTGCTGCTGCTGCTGCTTCTGCTGGTCAATTAGTCAGCCCCTTCCGTAGGGGGAGGTGAATCACACAAATCAGGACACTGGTGCCACTGCTTTTAAGCACCTGAAACCTCTTCTAGGATGGCGTGTCGCCATACTAGGCATATCTGCTAAAATTCATGTTAAATGGAAATTTCGAAAATCTGCAGGTCATTGGATGAAAATGCCGGGGTTTAAGGTGATGCACCTTTTAAAAAGAAATTTATGCATTAGCCTCATTGTTCGGCAAATCTCAAAGCTCTTCAGACCAATTACAAATGGTTTAAATTGTAATTAAAAACCAACAATGGATATGACTAAACAGGGTTCTAGAAAGTGCTATCAGTCGATGACTCACACAAATCACGACGCTGTTGGAGGGAGAGGAAGGGATTGGAGCTCCATTGACCAAGTAGATTGGCCATCGCAAGTGCCATCTGTTGTTGTTGTTGCTGGTTGTGATTTGTTTGATGCTGACGGTTTGTTGCATCAAAGCCTGCTTGCATCAGAGCGTGCTGGGCAAAGAGAATAGGATCCAGAGGAAGGTTGGATTTGGGGGAATAAAGATCCGCTGGAGGCTGGCAAAGGCCCGATGGAACTGCCGTACTCTGTTGCTGTTGGCTGTACATCAGAGAAGCTAGACATAAAAAAAGGATGTCAGCATCCCAATTACTCGGGCATAAGTCTACGCAAAGAAGATGATGAGTCATAATTTAGATGTTGAAGAATGTGGTGGTTGTAGTGGTGATGATGGTGATGATGATAGGGCCAAGGCAACATTTGGATTGCGTATCCGAAATATGACAAAACCGTTTCTGACATGTCATTTAACAACACAACCCATTTGCGATACATGCACTCATTACTGTTACAGAATGGTGAAAAGGCCAAATGGAAGTGATTTTAATAGGTCGGATCAAGGGAGTTTGGAGGACAATCCTCAGCATTTGGGTAGGATTTGAGACTACGAAATGCCTGTTGATTGAAGTCCAGCGAATTCTGCTGTTCATGTTTGCATTACATAGCAGTTTTGAAGGATTCTACATTGTTCGCGCCTGTAAATCTAGAGGACAGATGAGGTTCTTTGATTAATTCGACGCGATATGCACATGCAGTGATTAGTGTTACAAGTTTGCAGATCTTATTAATTTAGTTCGGTAAAGATCTCTATGCCCGGTACAGCACCTTTCTGCCATGTTTACCTTAAAATAAGGACACGAAACGTATGATTATTGTAGAATTCACAACTTTAAGGGCGAATAACAAAGGACATGCTTTCAGTACCGTGGAAACAGGTTTGCTACTTCTTCTTAACTTACGCCAATGGTTCGCTTTAATGAGTCTTAAAATTGGTAATTCCGCATGTGGAATTATGCCAGCATCACCTCCTTCGTGGATCCTTAAATTTAATAAAACTCTAGGCTTTCGCATAAAACGCTGCACCACCCGCAAAGGAAAACTCCTTGATTAGATTAACCAACTCATTCACCGACGGGAGGAGCCCAACATCAGTAGCGACCAAAAGCACTCAAACCGTGTTATGAGGTGAGGGATTTGCATAAAGAACGGGAGTTATAATAATTCTAGACAGCAGTGGAAACCAGGTGCCACACAGCAAAGCTTACAGAGTAGAGTTGAAGCAGCGAACGGGTCCATAGCGCTGGGAGAAGCCGCATTGCTTGTGGCGGTTGCAGCGGCAGCAGCTGCAGCAGCAGCAATAAGCGCATTCATGATATCACCAGTGGTGGGAGTGAAATTGCCGGCTGCTGAATGCTGTGGTGGAAAGGTAGGAGGTATAGTTCCATTGGAGGCGAAAACACTAGTTAGGTAGTCCAAGGCAAGACTGTTTTTTCCTGTCGAATCGGCAGTGGACTGACCGTTTGTAGCCCCGGATGCAGAGCTACTGCTTTGCTGGTCGGAGGTGGTGGAATGGTAGACGGACATGGCTTTCAATGCGCAAATCTCCCAATCATTTCGAACAAGTAGAATGGTGCCTGAAGGGATGAAAGAATGCAGCTGGCTGGGTTGTATGAGGAGCAGATGAAGAACGGTGTAGAAAGAGGAGGCTAGAACACAAAGCGTCCCAAAAGAAGACCATATAGGCTGCTATGACTAAGCATGGGAAACGGTGGTGGGCAAATAAGCGAGATGCAGAGTTTTTGCAAGAAAAAAAAAGGAGTCGCAGAGACGATTGCTATGTTCTTTTCTACAGGGAGGTGTGAGATTGTGCCTGGTTAATTAAACACTGTGTAAGTGTGCGATTTGGAATAAAACGTGCGCAATTAACCTTCACCTGAATAGAGGAGGTTGCTAATTGAAGCAGCGGCAACCAGCAGGAAAACCAATCACAGTTTAACAAATTCAAAGAGAACTTCACTGACGTGATTTTTATGACACCAAACTTCTAAGCAATCCAATTATTCTCCTACATTTAGCTGGATCGGGAACATGTCATGATTGTCGCAAGACGTATTATTTTGGTTGTCTAAATGTCGAGCAACAGAGTCGGGACAACTATTACCCCTCTGGGGTGCAAAAGCACAGGTCCAATCACAACCCAAAGTCATGACAGTCAGCTGCCGAATTTAGCTGTTCGCTTGATCAGCTGATGACTGTCGATCCATCCGTGTAGATGCGCACACAAACGTTTTGGTGTTGACAGAACAGTCGGGTACCACTGCCACTACTTGAATGAATCGCATTAAAACCAATGTGGTGTTGCCATCGTTATGCCCCAATTTGTGTTCGCATAAGTGCGTCCCTCCCCAAACAACGACCGTGATGGTGGCAGTGGTGGTGGCGGTTGTGCGCACGTGCATATAAGCGCAGACGAAGAAAAATGAATGGACATCGTTCTCCTTACCTCTCGCTTTCGTATTCGCTATCCCTCCGCCCTGCTTGCCTGTCTACCTCCCTTCTCTCTTTTATACCTGTCAGGCGTCGTAGTCGGAGGCGCGGATTAGCGAGGGTAGAGGGCGCGTATCGATTTTTTTGGCCTTGCGGTGTGATTGCACGCCCTTCTCTAAGGCAGTTCAGACTTGGAGTCCTGCCTGCGAGACGATTGCAAGCGATACATCAACACAAACAAAAACAACCAATTCAGTCGCGCTCTGTAATAATTCACGGAGGAACTTAAGCGCTAACAGCCCCTTACGTAAATATTCTGCTTCTTTCACAGCGACGTTGTGATATGGATCGAGACCACAGTGCGGAATAAACTGAATCGTGGTCTATGTCATAGAAGCAGGTGGTAATTAATCCCAAGTGTAATTCGTGTGGTTGTAGTACCCAAACATCACTAAGTAATCTTTTACTAGTTCCATGTGTGAACGATCTGACCACACCCACCCGTGGGAACCGCTGGTTTGGTTCAAATAACATAAATAATAAACCAACATAACACAGTTATCTAAACCTCAGTTTCTAACAAACAATGCTTCCTGATAGCGGGTGAGGTTGTGAGGCAAAACAGCAAATTACGGGAAATTTTTGAGTTGTTCTTCAAGGAAAAAAGCGCAAGTTTTGTTGCAGTAATCCCCTATGGATGGCACGAAACAAGAAGATATAGCTAACACATACTCGATTTGCGGTTGTAATACATTGAAATAAAGAAAAATTTTGATGCCTCTGCGCTGCAAAGCAATTACACTACGAGTTCTAAAGTTAGGCTTCAAAGAACGCGAATGATGGGACCCTAATAATTCATCTTTATGGGAGCTTTAAAGGACGCGATTTACCTTACAACAAAACAAATGATAAATTTTCAAAGGCCCAACTTCACTTCCTAATTAAAATCGAAACCACACTGGGGGACGTATTCAAACAAAGCAAGTGCGCACACACGCAGCCACATATGAATGACGAAGAAGTTAACGCACAGCCACACGCGCGCATGCTTCTGTGAAAAGCAGGAAGGGGAGGACTGGGAGGAGGAGGTGAAGGGGGTGGGGATTGGTGTGTGCATAAAGGGTTGAAGAGAACGAGGAAGGTAGAAACGTCCAAGTGTAATGCTTAGGAGGGCGGGGAGGTGGAAGGGGGAGGCGGCTTGTGTGAGTGCGCGCGTGTGTGGGTAAGTGCGCGCGACAACATCCTAACAAACTTTCCCAAGCACTCTCCTCCCCTCTCGCCATCTCGTTTCCCTCCTCCTCGTCCGCCTTACCTCTCCACCACTTGCCCGTCGATTTGGGCAAACTATTAGCAGCAGTAGCAGCGTTTTTAGCAGCCATCACGTTTGTGGTTATATGCTTACTGAGACAACAAATCTTGCACCTCTACTTTCTGCAGCTTTCTATTAAAATTTAGCCACGTCTCATGCATTCATATGGTTTTGTGCTGAAATCAGTAAAGTCGATTGAAGCCAAGTTTTCCTTCTTCAATTGTGCGATTATTACTAATGTTCGATAGGTAAAGATGGGGCAAGCCACACTAATTACAGCTGTCGAAAGTGATTTTACCGGTATTCTTAGTGCACCACATATAACATGCCGCCTGTTTCCTCAGAAGCATTTAATTTGCATTTTAACAAATTGTTGGAAAACGTCAGATTTAAGGAGTTAGTCTGAGCTTTCGACCATTCGTACCAGATTTCCTTCCCTCCGAACCTTGTGAATTTGAACCTGACGTCATTCGTTCATCCGGTCATTAGAAGAAGCATTGTTTTGCGAGTTCAAAAAGTCAAAGCATGGAACGAATACAAAATATTGCAGACATTCCACAAGAGTTACGCATAAACAGGGCATATACATCACGTGAAACGGATTCGTACTAATGTAGCACTTACCTCAGGACGTTATAAGGCGGCACGTGCAAAAGGCGATTGCCAGAAGCATTAATCCAGAGTAATAAATTCCACAGGTATTTGTAGACTCGTGCGTGGGTGTTTTAAATCCAAAATCTGGAAATCCGGTAGAAGGAGAACAAAAGGAGAAGGCAAATGACCGAATGAGTGAATGGACAGGTGAATGGATTGATGGATAAGTAGACACAACGACCTATTGCTGATGACTTCTGATGACTGTGTGCGCGCGTCAGACACCAAGGCGGAAAAATAAATGCAACAAAAATGCTGCTGGGGCAATGTGTTCTCGCACAGCGCTAACACACGCTCGCGGCAATGTGACTGGTCAAGTGGATGCACGCTTTCATGCGTGCATGCATCCCTTTGGACGTACATGCACGCGTAGATGCACACACGTGCGCACGTAAAAATTAAAGTTTGTGCGTTTGCATGCGTGTATGCGTGCGTGCGTGCACGTTGCACGCTTAGAGGTGCATGTGTGCGTGCATGCGTGCTTGCTTGCACGTGTGCGTGTTCCTCATAAGCAGTCGGCCTTGAGAGGAGGGGCAAACCTATTGACTACTGCATTCTTATACAAAAAGACAATCAATGCTATTCTATCCGCGCGCTCTCTATGTAAATATGCGCGGCCAGGAATAGACACAAAGGACAGGCACTTTGCTAATTGGCGGCAAAATCTACCTGCCCGATGTGCTTCGACTTTCTTCCCTCCGCCTTTAGTAGTTGTTACACCTGTCACAATGTCCTATTTTCATTTCTTTGCTGTCCTAGAGAATGAGAAGAAAGACTGAATTACCAGTGTGGTATCACATAGCATGCATACAATAATTTAATTTTAGGACCTAAAAAAGTACACAAAGAAACATTTTGTATCATTTTTAAATAAATACTAGGTGTACGCAACCCCTAATCTTTCATCTCTGGGTAGCTAGACTGTACTGAAATTGTCAGCTTATATGGTGAAGATTACCTTGTGATCATTGTGGCTGAGAATATCAAGCACGATGCTTCCAGAGTTTTTCATCTTAGAAGTAGATTCCGACTTCGGTTCGCCCACCTTGAGACTTGACCATCACTATCTGTCACGTCCAGGCTGATCGAGTTTTAATGATTGACTCATGCCATTCAGGTACTGTTAAGGCAGGATTGAGACGCAATCAAAACTACGAGTGGGTTCACATCCTCTCCTTTCGGTTAAGCTAGATTGCGAGGGACGTGTGAGACGTGGTGCTATTGACCAGAGCACTCAGCCTAGAGCCAAAATGTGAGACATTTTTGTGAGTTTAGTACTGGTGCAAAGTGGCTTGGATTAAGGAGGCATGTCTTATCCATGCATACAGAAGGTAGCAGGGCAAGTGATGTTTCAGTCCGATCTCTCAACCCCGGAAAATGTATCTTCCTCTCACATTGAAAGCAACAAAAGAAATACCCTGTCGGTCTCATTTCACGGGAAGTTGCATGAACGTTGTTTACGTAAACTTCTTCTCATGTATTCCCTTCACTCATATCAAAGGAGATCTTGTTTGAGGCTTAGAATTAAGGTATTTTAAAGTGTCTAGGTGAAGTCTGGCTCGTCTTGAGTAATGCGAACCTCTTGTCAATTTGACCATTTCTCATGTTCTAAAGCTTCGAATGACTCACTGCGTGAGAAGCAAACCTTTGAGTTAAACATCTCGTCGATCAGCCAATAAAAATGAATGCATTTAGCATCCTCCTAAGGTCAACAGTCGGGCGACCTGCATATCCGTTTGGGCTGAACTAAAGTAGCTCACTTCACTGAGCTATGCCACATAGCTAGCCAAATTGGCACTTTTTTCGTTCGAATTATCACATTTCCCGGAGGTTTAGAGAAGTGCAAGTGAGCCATCGCTTCCGCCGGCTAAATCAAGAAACCGCTATTCAATGAAATCTTACAAAACAGCATTGATTGACCACAGTGCATCCTCTGCACCGTATTCGAGTTTCTTCCTTCCTATCATAAAATCGGAGAGAACTTAAGCAGTACTGTCTTAATCGTTTCATGACACTTAAGTTACTTCATTTTAACGGGCTGCTTTGAGCAACTAGTTGTGCTTAACCGAAATCAAGAGAATAGCACTTACCTACAGCACTGCTAACATGTAAAAAAAACAAGATTTGTCAAGGC